CACATTTTTTTTGTCCCCAAAGTCTTTTTAAATGGGTAATATGTGACTGAAATGCTCATGCACAATTTTATTCCTATTTATTAAGAGGATTATAAAATATGTAAAAGAAAATAAAATAATAAAAAAAGTCGGCCAATATAAAATTTTCCACACTAAAACAGCGACATTCAGCAGTGTAGCTTCAAAATACAGTAACCGCATTAAACTGATTTTCTATCAAAACCAAAACAAAATACAGCATCTAATGTCAAGGAATCACATGTTGAAACAGTAATCCCCTTCATGGGGATTGTGAAGATCATCAATAAGATGTTTATGATAAGAGCACAGGCTGACTAATTCCGTTTTGTTGATTTGTGTTTGGTTTGTTTATGTAAATATGTGTATTTTTGTGGGTGCTGTTGGAAAAATTCCGCTAAAACATAAATATTTCTAAAGAAAAATGTTAACTAATTGATAAAGACTTAAAAAGCAATTCCACTGATCCCCCCTTCAAAAAACAAAACATGTTAACCGTTTTACAGATTTTATTAATTTACCTATTAAGTAAGACAATTTTTTATTGCAGTTTTAAGCTCTGGGATGCAACTCAAGTGCATTTTTACTTATACATCAAGGCTCATAACGGTTATTGACTGGTTTGGGCCAAATACAAAAAGCCTTTTTTTTTTGTTAGGCCAAATTACTTTGAAAAACACATCTTTCCATAGAAAACAAGCCAGCACTAAGGACTTCTTACATCTCACATGATGAAATTTAAAAAGAAAGTCAATATAATACAATATAATCAAACACATTAAAGAATGAATAAAATGCAATTTACGTTTAAGATCATTTTGACAAATTAAAGGCTTAAAACTAAGGGTTTTAATAGTTTTCTAATCCTTTTAATGACCAATTTAAATATTTTTAGTTAATCATTTAATATTATGAATAATAATAATAATAATAGGCATGATGCAATAAGATACATTTAAAGTGGCAGAAAAATATGATATTTTCGCAGTTTCAACATTTCAAATCATTTGTAATGACTATTAATAAATGATCTGTTGCATACCTGTCTGCTGCGCCCTCCCCCTTTAGGGTCACGAACGCATACTGTCTGAGCAAAGAACATGTTTCTATTTCTCCGTAGGGAGCAAAAAGCTTATTTAGTTCATCTTGAGTTGCATCTAAAGGAAGGTTCCCCACAAACAGCTTGACGTTCTCCCCGCTCATCTCTGCATCAATCTGAAAGAGAACAAGGAGGATTTATTGTGACAAGCCGTTAGCCGAGCGTTAGCAACGTAGCTGTTAAGTAAGAGCGACCCCCCCAGAACCACCTCGTACTGGCACCATTACATCATATATATATATATATATATATATATATATATATATGGGGTCAGAGTATTTACAAATACGTTTAGCATAATGACAGGCGTGCTGTAAGCCAATTCTACCGTTACCTAGCAGGGAAAATAGGGTTGAATAGAGTAAAAAGTGTACCTTGACCAAAACGAACTGAGTGAAAAGATATACACGGCTAAACTCAAATAGTTTTTAAATATGTGACAAAGCATACGACCACCAGTAGGCTAGAACTCCTGGCCATTTTGTTTAACATTAGCGTAAACGGTGCAACGTTAGCAGTGGCTATGCTAGCTAAAGCTAGCCCTGATACTGTGTGATTCGATTTACAAATATCTGGAACGGCCGAGGCCGTTAGATTGAAACGGATACAAAGATGTGGGTCGAGTGATTTTTTAAGCTTCACTCTAATTAAATCAAACTCATGAAAACGTTTTAGCCAGCATGTAGCAAAAATAGCTCACCCAACGCGGTCCTAAGCTGATGTGGTTCTGACGTCATTTCCGGTTGCGGTGTGCTAAAAAGATTTAAAAAAAATAATTAAATACTTCTGCCATGAAAACCTGATTCGAGGCAGTTTTATTTTATTATTATTTTTTTTACTTGATAATTTATCAATTTTTACAGCTCAAAGCGCGTTTGTTTGTAAGACACAAAATATTTAACTATTTCGACTGGGAGCCTAAATGTGCATATAATTAAACGGTTGTTTAAATCGGAAGCATTTTTAGTTTTGTATTTCAATTAAAAAAAACTAACGGAAGACTGACCAATGATTAACACAGTGATGAAACAAAATGTTTTACTGAAACAAAAGATCTGAAGCACTGAGCTCTTTTCATCTCTCCCATTAATTTTGGTCGATTTACCCGATCGGGTAGAGAAGAGAGTAAAGTTTATTCAAATATAAGACATATTTTTGTTAAACTTTATTATTGTAAACGCTCTTACTCAGCACACGTTCCAATACTGCCACCTGCTGTTGATATTCTGCATTCTACTACTGGTGTGCGTACGTACAACGTCTTTACGTCATGGGGTTACGTTTACTCCTAATGGTGTACGTGCAGCTGTATTTATTAACTATAGAATCCTTAAAATTTATCTCAAATGCTAAAGCCATTCAAATGGTAACTGCCCTTAAAGAATTGCTACCCTTTAGCAGATTTGATTTTGACATTGTAAAATAATTGTTCTATATTCTGTAAAGCCCTTGATGATGTATCTGTAGATAATTATTAATGTTCTGTTCTGTTCATACGTTCTTTGTTTAAAATAATATAAAAAATGCAGCTGTGTTATTATTCTTCAATAAATATACCTGAGAGAGGCTGAAGATACTCAATGACTCACTTATTTTTATCTTTCTGCAACCTCTGCGCACCATTCATCCTAACAGTTGTCTATTAAAATTTTGAAGAAACGAATGCAGCAAAGGTTTTAAGATATATTTATATGCCTACTGATATTAATACATTTTAATATTTAGAATAGAAAATCCATTT